TATATATATATATATATATACAGTATATGATGAACATTAAAAAAAGTTCTGTAATTTATTTATCTATCAACACAATTTAAAATTTGATGTATAGCCTGAAGTCTGTAATTTTGACACAATTTGGAACAGATTCTTACGAAGAGCAAATCTTTCCCACTAAACTGGACATGTGACTCGGACATAAGGGTGTCCAGGGATTCCAGGGGATTAATCGTCAAATTACTCGTTATCGGCTTAAACACCACAATTAATCGTGATTAATTTTTTTGCCGATATTGCCCAACCCTAGTTAGGATATAAAATTTATAAAAAATGAATGGAAGTCAATGCGTGGTCCCCACGGGGATATGCAAACCGTGTGTGTGTGTGTGTGTGTGTGTGTGTGTGTGTGTGTGTGTGTGTGTGTGTGTGTGTCGGGGGGAATCTAACAGCGCCAYGTCGTGGCGGCTGCCGTGCGTTGACTCGCTGACCTCCCGGTGACTCCTCCGCTGAGAGCGCCTCAGAATGAGGGGTGGGCGGGGCTGGCTCTGGGCGCGTGTTGCCATGACAACACCTGCAGTGTACCGGCGCGATCGTTTATTTACCACTCAGGGGGGCTGGCTAATGGCGGCGTTCTGATAGGCCCATCGCTCACGCCGCCGACCGCAGGACGGACTGACAGCCGCCCGAGCCTGCAGCGGGGAGAAGGTGAGCCGGGGCTGCTCGGGTGAGGCGAGGGGCGACGGGTGAGGCAGGTGTCGTGTCACGCCGTCATTTAGCACAGAAACAAAACATTCCTTTAAAAATCCCCATCGTCTCCAGAAATGCACCGTTTTTTTTTTTACGAAAATAAATCCTGCACAGATACTTCCTTTCCTCTGTTCCTCTCACCTTCGCCCGTGTTGAAACAAACACACACACTCTCACACACACACACACACACAATCCCAAATGCATACAAACTAGGGGGAGTGCTAATAAGCCTGACACATGAGGCATCTCTTCTCGGCCACCAGCTGACTGAGGCAGGCCTTGGGCGTGATGGAGCGCAGGAAGTCTCTCATTGCCCTGCCGCTGAACCCACCTCCTGGTTGTTACAATCTCTCCCTCCTTCCACATTTCCATCCCCCTCCATCTCTTCCCCTCTTCCTCCCGTAGCAGCCTTTCTGCTCGCGTCCTCCCCGTTTTTATTTCCTGTGTTTCGCTTTTCTTTTCTTTTTTTTACATCCYTTGAACAGACTCATCAGATGCACTGCAGTTCTTCCATCATACAACCGGTGTAGCACAAATCTGTAAATCTGTTTTCAAATCCCCCACACTTGAAGACGTCAAGGAAAACTGCGGGAAAAGGTGTAATAATTTGGGCGGATTATGAGGACTTTGCATCGGGAAAAATCTTCTTTAAAAAAAAAGGGATAATAATCCCGTATAACCAGCGATTGGAATGGCTACTTAGTGTCCATTTTTCCAAGTGGGCTTTTAATTAAATCAGAGAATTGGCCTCAAATTGGAAACATGACAGAGCAGGAGAACGTTTGAAAATATCTCAGGGACGATGAGATTTAATAAAAAGAAAACCTACTTGCTCCTTTCTAATGCACGCCTGGGATTACAGATAGCTTCTTAACTTAATAGCAATTTAAAGTGGATTTGTGTATGCCACTGAGTGTCTGTAATGATGGCTGTTTATGCCGCCCCTCATTTATAATAATTAAGCAGAATGGATTGGGGGGTGGGTTGCTCGGACGCGGTTCTGGGCTATTGGCTTGGGCTGAATAATGACCTACTGTAGTTGACCGGGGGATGACCGCTGCCTCCTGCATGACCCCAAACCCCAGACTCACCCCCTGCTACTTTGGGTGGTAAATAGGATGTCTTGCCTGTCTATAGTGTCTTGGTGTCTATGGCCACAATAGCAGCTTGGRGTCTTTAAATTGCTGTGTGACAGGGTTCACACACAAAAGAATAGCACAACCCCCCCTTACTCAGTCCTCTTTGTCTCTCTTGCTTGACTTTTCCCATCTGATTGTTTGCCCACTTTTCCTTTTCTTCTGCTGATCTCAGTAGTCGTGACCTGTGGACAGCAGGCCACAACAACTAGCGAAGCAGAAACTAAACTTTTAAAATAATAAGGTTTGTTTCAGGCAAAAAGTCCTAAAATCACAAAATATTATTACCTTCCTATTTTAACTCTTCCTCTAAGAACTTGATTCTTTTATGACTTTAAGTCCTAAGCTTTCACTRCCTAAAACCACCACAAGGTGTCAGTGGTGTCCAAGTTCTCATTGTCTCCATCAAGCTGCAACTTTGGCCAAATGCAAAG